TATTTCACCCTGGATTAAGTTATAAAGATCAAATTGTGGCATTGCCTTCATTTTTGTGGTAAAAGATGGAAGTCACAAAGGAAGCATTAGGACTTCACTGCAAGGCAGAGAAGCAGGTTTAGTGGGGGAATAAAACTGGCAGTCAAGTTTGTAGAGAAAAAATAGCTTTTGAAAATTCACTTTTATATTTCCCCCACCACCAGTATGAAAGTCCCATCTAACAAAATTTAGCAGCTAAACACAGATTAGCTTCGATGACAACATGAGATGAAAATAACCACCAACATTTTGAGGCAACATTTTGAGGTGGAAAGTGGAGTGTCTGGCCAAATAAAATGTAGAACAGATCCTGAAAAGGACTTGGTAAAAAAGCTTGTCCCTTTACCAACATCCTGATTCAGCAAAATCAATGGTACAGAGACATGACAGAAAAGGGTGAAAAGAACCAGTGCATGAGAAACTTACTTTTCTATGCACTGTGGAGGCTAGACAATCGTCTCTTCTGGCCAGCCATGAATTTTGGCCCTCCTTGGTTCTTCATGCAAATTTTTGGCAATGGACACAAATGCTGAACTTCACAACAAGATTTTGTGCAATTTAAAATTACGCTTAGCTCTCTGAAACCTCACCAGAAATCTATTCAAGCCACACAGCAACCCACCTGTACCTAATCTATTTATCAAGGTTCTCAGACCACGCTTGTCACCATGGTATAAGAACATAAGAATGGCCATACTGGGTCAGACCAAGGTCCATTCAACCCAGTTGCCTGTCTACCGACAGTAGCCAATGCTGGGTGCCCCAGAGGGCGTGAACCTAACAGGTAATGGTCAAGTGATCTCTCTCCCACCATCCATCTCCATCCTCTGACAAACAGAGGCTAGGGACACCAGTCCTTACCCATCCTGGCTAATAGCCATTAATGGACTTAATCTCCATAAATTTATCCAGTTCTCTTTTAAACCCTGTTATAGTCCTAGCCTTCACAACCTCCTCAGGCAAGGAGTTCCACAGGTTGACAGTGTGCTGAGTGAAGAAGAACTTCCTTTTATTTGTTTTAAACCTGCTGCCCATTAATTTCATTTCGTAGCTCCTAGTTCTTATATTATGGGAACAAGTAAATAACTTTTCCTTATTCTAAGTATCTAAGTATCCTTCTCAGTCCAGTTGTTACTACATATGCTCAGATATATTTTACTTTCTAAATTTATTTATGGGTAAAACTCCCACAAAGGGCATAATAGACAGACAGATATCTTAACTCTTTGGCACTACCTAACCAGAGGCAGCAACTGTTTAAAAGAATATGAATCAATGGTCCAAGACAGAAAATTCTGTCCTCTGGAAATTCTGTGGTATAAGCAATCATAATAGCAGAAAGAAAAGGAGTACTAGTGGCACCTTAGAGACTAACCAATTTATTTGAGCATAAGCTTTCGTGAGCTATAGCTATTGGTTAGTCTCTAAGGTGCCACTAGTACTCCTTTTCTTTTTGCGAATACAGACTAACACGGCTGCTACTCTGAAACCTGTCATAATAGCAGAAAGTAATAGAAGTTTTTTGGGAAGTTGAGTGACAGTTTATTATGCACCAAATGTAAAAAATATATATAACCCTCTATAGACTGCACAGAAATTAACCTATCTACTAGAAATGAGGAAGGGAGGAACTGGCAAAGATGAGATTTAACCCTATGGCTTTCAGGAAAGACAGGTATTTGACACGATATTTAGACTACTGTACCCATCCTCTTCTATGCTATCTACTGCCCAGCCAATAGCCAAACATAATGAATAACTAAGTGCATATAAATAGTTAGTTTGTGAGAGAAAGAAAGAAAGAAAAAAAGAAGGGAAAAACATTAAGAAAACGTTTTGTGAGGAGTTCCTCAGGCAAGGATATGCTACCCTCTGACTAACTGCTTTGAAGATAGACAGGCTTTCTTACTGGAAGGTGATACAACCACAGTTTGTCAGCAACAGTAATGACAGATTGTGAAAATCCATTGCTGCTCTTAATGATTGGATTTTTATGAAGAAATTAATGGCTGTCATATACAAACAGTGTGAAAATATTTTCAAAACTGCCTGTGTTTAAAAACTGGTCATGTTTTGCTAGAAAATGACTACTTTATAGCCAGTCTGAATGCTGGACACATTCCACTTGATTCGTAATACATGTTACAGATCAATTTGGCGTCTTTTGTGCTGTTAATATTTTTGTACTACAGTATGACAGAAATTGAGCTCACATGTAATAAGATTATGAACACTGTAGAAATTGCTATATATTAATCTATGAATACATATATGTAATAATGACATGAACACTGTATATGACCAGAGCAATGAGGGAAACTTATTCTATATTGGGTTATAAGACTTTCCTGTGTGAATGCATTGATCTAATTTGTCTTGGGATTAGCTGAACATTTATTATATGCCTATAATACTTGAATTCAATGGGAACTGTACATAAAGGCAATACAGTGGCTTCCCAGATGAGAATACATAGGTACACACAAAAAAGACAAGGGAGCCAGCTGTTGGCTTCCAAGTGGAGCAGTATGAAGGAAATGGGTCTCCCAGATCTAGGGAATGGCAAGCCTTAGAGAAGAACTAACTATGCAGACAGTATGCTTTATTGTTGTTAAGATGTGTTTCCTCTGAAATGCTTTTGTTCTAAATAAAGATTTTGCTTTAAGGAAGCTGTTTGGTCACTAATCCCCATTGTCACTGGGAACAAAACTACAGGTTTGAGCCCAAGTCAGACCTGGTAAGGTGATCACAGTTGAGACACAGGGAACTGCCATCAGAATCACCTAGTCTGAGACTAGGAGAAATGTGTGTTTCCATCACAAGAAAAAGGTGACAGCTTGAGGGGTAGAGGGGGCATGCTCAAGAAGCCATAAGTTATTGGAGGTGCAGTTAGGTCGATAATTATGATCAGCAGTATAATTTTCTTTTCCATTTCTTTGCCATTATCTTTTCCATTACCCTCACTGCTATTAGAATGCATAGTGGAAATTCAATTAATAGAAGGTACGGTGTAGGTGGGGAAGGAATACTAGGGGGGTAAGGTAGTACAGTGTGTCATTGCACTAGGCTTTCAAATCAAGAGACTTGGGTTCAAATGCTGATTTTGACCAACAGAGAAATAAGTTTGGTAGTTTCAACTTATTACTCATGGATACTTTACAACTTACTTTACAAGCTGGCATGATAGGCGGTTGCTGCTCAAGAAAGGCCCAGGGCTAGAATAGCAGTGGTGTTGCAGGCCAAAACTCAGGTGGACTACAGAACTGTGACAAAGAAACTTTCGCAGAACCTGACTGTAGTGCATTTTGCCTCAGTCTAGGCTAGAATTATCCATCTATAATTTTCATGAGCACCAAATTCTTAAAAAAAGAAGCTACAACATGCAAGAGTTACTCAAAACATCCATAGTTGCAAAGATCAATGCTCAATACATTTTGTATGCTGCTTGATTATGTGGGAGACAGTCCTCTGCAAAACATACTTGTTTTGGGTGCAAAATAAACATGCTAAATCTAAAATAAAGGAAGTTTACAGTTCAAAACAGAGAAAGAGATAACTCATGACAGTTAAAGTCCTTTCACAGTAATTCAACCATGAAGAACACATTTAGGTCATGCTGGAGGAGGAAAGTTCTGCTTCTCTCAGGCCAAATGTGCACTAATTCCAACACAGCGACCAAGACATTTTCTGCCCCGTTTAAACCAAGACCACAGGCCTGTGCGCCAGTCTGCTTTGGAATTGCAGTAGGATCCTTGAGTGACTTTCACTCAGTGATTTCTAACAGCCAGTAACTGGTCTACTCAGGGGGAAGTAATGACAGATTACAGGAGCAGGAGACTTAGAAACGCAATACCCTAGCACAGCAATTTGGGTTTAGTATCAAGTGGGGAAAAGAAATTTCCGTCAAGCCTTAATTCTTATTTTGACCTTCACTTAGTGATAGCTAGGATCCTACATCCATATAGCCACTGTCTGACTACCCTACCCGTCTAGTGAATGCCATTAGAGAAAACATGCATTCCTATAAGATAGGAAGAATGTGTTCGGTTACAAAATCTTGAACTTTTTCAGCTGTGTGAAGGGAGGCAGAGGTAATGTTTCTGTCTTCATATTTAGCTTATATAACCTTCCCCTTTCCAAATCGTTCCATAAAAATGCTTCAGTAAGGAGGAACTGTGCTCCTCTCAGAGCTCTGTTAAAACTATTCTTGACTGATTAGAAAATATCACTGTTGAGGAAGACAAGATTTCCCTATCCCCAAAGGAGAACACAACCTCTGCAGTACTCCCAAGACAAGGCAGCACAAGAGTCAGAGACCAAACCTGGTCTTCTATCTGATAGTGATCTTACATCTGGCCCCCGAGATGCCACAAGCCAGAAACTGAGGGAGTTGGGAAGAGAACTAATTCTCACCATACTGAGGGGACCTTCTGGAACACAGCTCCTCTTGTTTTAATATATTAAGGATGTGTAATCTTCTAGTATCAGTAAGTATCTATTAATAAATCTACTGCTTTTATTTTTCAAAAAGCTGCATAAACACAAAGTCCTAAAATTTAAAAGGTGTGCACGCAAAGTATATCTTTTTGCATTCAGATCTCTCAGCATGTGTATGTGCATCAACTGGTTTGTGCATACCATACATATGCATGCAAATGTAGTTGTCCAATTCTGCACATGTACTTTTTAAAATTTAGATCCAATTTACTAATCTTCCCTATGCCCTGGATGTGGGTAAGCATTATTATCCTCATTTTACAGATGAGGAATCTGAGGTGCCACAAAGGCTAAGTGAATTGATCAAGGTCACACAGCAGGTCCATGTCAACACTGAGGAGTTCCTAACCATTTGCTCAGTCCACTTATTTAGTTACAGGTAAGATATAATTCTTTTTATATTTATAAGAAATAAATAGTTTTAAACACAGCTGGCCAGTCATTGTGCCAGTGCTATGTCTTACCTTGTGTGTTTTGCTGTACGCATACAGAAAGGCCAGTCTGTAGAGGCTCTTATAGTGCTGGGGGAAACGGCTCAGACACAAACGGAAGGAGGTGATGCATTGTTCTGTCAGGAATTTGCGTTGCTCTTCAAGATCTGCTGGAAGACACTGGGGAAACTCAGATGCGTCTCCACAAGATTCAGCTTTCTTCTTACAGTCCCACTGTGAAGGTGGGGGAACTGTAGCCTTGATAGGGATGCCAGATGATGCTTGGGCATCTAAAAGAACTTTCTGGACACTATGCTCAGCTGCATGATAAGATTCAGAGTTCTCCAAGGGTTCTTCTGACTTTCCTACAAATGAACAAAGGTTCAGCATTTGTGTTTTAGAACCGATGTATACTGAAAAACTTAAAACTTTTTCTCCATTAAACTACATTCAGAATAATTCCAGAACTTCCCAATATACGTGTGACTGTTCTGTTCTACATGTTCAATGAACAAGACACCTTCAAGCTCCTAGAGAAACATATATATAACCATCTATCAAGAGGAAGGCAACTTTAGAGTCACAGGCTCTAGGGGCAGAAGGGTCTATTATGATCACCTAATCTGACTTCCTGAATAACACAGGCCAGGGATTTCTCCATTAAGTCCAATAATTTGTGGTTCAACCAGGCCATCATTTTTACAAGATAAATCTTCATTTATCAGATAATGCTGACTCTACAATATCCCTTGTCACCTGTTGCAAAGGTTAATTAACTTCACTGTTAAAAATTTGCAACCTATTGCAATTAACATTTTTTCAGCTTTCAACCACTGAATCTTGTTACATCCCTCTGCTAGAATAATGAGCCCTCTCATATCAGTTACTATCACTTGATGTAGCTATTTATAGTCCATGATCAAATCGCCTCTTAACCTTCTCTTTGATTAGCTAAATAAACTGAGTTTAAGTCTCTCTTTCAGGTGTGTTTTCCTCACTGTGAATCATTCTTGAAGCTCTTGTCTGAACCCTCTCCAATTTTTCAACAGCCTTTTGAATGTGTTGACACTAGAAATGGACACAGTATTCCAGCAGGATGTACTATGTTTTTCAGAAACTTCTGAAGGCTGGGGAAAATATTTCTATTTAATTTTTTAAACCATTAAATATTTTACAATCAGCACCTTCTGACCTAGAATTGTTAGCACACTTGATGCGTCTGAGCCATCCCAAGTTTGAGGAAGACCTTTTAAAATTTTTAACTTAAAAAGTGTTAGATTTTTCAAGCTACAGCATATTCATACAATGTTTCAGTAATACCAGAATGTTTTAATTCTCAACTCAAAAAGTTTCAGTCATTCCAATGCCTTAATCATCCCAGAAGCAGAGGAAAAAAGCTGTCAAAATTAACACGAGCAAAACTCTTTTACATGCTTAGCTGATGTTATTTTGTATTTATACCCATAGCATCTGGGGGACTTAAAATTTGTTTTAATTTTTTTTAAAGTATCCAAAGCAAACGTTTATGTCCCTTCCCTCAAAATAGGCTTTTTTAAATTAATTGTAGGAAAGCTAATTCAAATATTTTTGAATTATTTTTGAATTGTGGGTTTGTGTTGTGTTGTAAGCAATGGGTGTAGTTAGAAGTGGAAGTACAAAACATACACCCCGCCTCTAATACTGGGTCATATTACATATTACAAAATAATGTTATCAAATCTTATATTAATTTACAGCGGCGACGGACAGGGGGACAGGAGGGGAGGGGCCAGGGGCTAGCCTCCCTGGCCGGGAGCTTATGGGCCGGGTAGGCCATAGTTTGCCCACATCTGGTATAGTCACTCTGGCGCAAGTTTCCCTAGTTTAGACAAACCCTAAGAAAAAGCATAATTCAAAAGAAGAAAACAAGTTATCAAAATATCAATGATACATACAATGTTGAAATAAACGTTTACTGTACATTTCTCTCCAATGAGAATAAGGGAATGGATCAGGACCTGCTAAGCATCAAATTTTGTGGATCCATAAAATATGATATTATGGAAGGAGAGACTAAACAATGGTGTGATGTGATAGGAAAGTTTTATGAGCCTAAGTTTGGATGGCAGCATTACTCACAAAGGTGAACAAATTACACGCCAATAATATTTATGCTACACCCTCACATTTTACAGAAAAAAAACGTTAACTTTTAGAGAGTTTTAAACTAATGTATTGGTTTTGTTTTTCATATCCCTCTACTTGTAAAGCCCAGCTCCCGCAGCACCGAATTCAACTATACAGGCTTCAGTTGGAGAGAGAAATTCTAACTAATAGATTTTGGAAGATCTAAAATTATTTAAAATCACTTTTCCATATATAACATCTGATATCAAATGATCTATTGGAGCTCAAATAACCGCTGTATTCCATGGGAAAAGGATGGCAGAAGGTGATTTCAAGTTCTCCATTGTGAATAAGCTTTCAATTCCAGTATTTATGATTCGCAAGATATTGAATAATAAGCTATCACTAGCCCAGGATTAAGTATGGGCAAAAGAGAGAAAAATTTTTGTTTGTGATTGTTTTACAATAACAGCTCCTTCAACTGCTCAGGACTTTGAAATATTAGAAGCCAGAGTACAGGTGAGGCAGTCAAAAGACCATGATAAAAATTGATTTACCACATTATTCTGCAGGTTATGAGAGGGTTCTATCACTTATGTCAGTGGTATCACAACCACATGGGTGATATAAATATAAAGTTTATATATACACATTTTTAAAAAACACAAACTATACATATACACCCCACTGGCATCCAACAAAAGTTCAAAAGCATAGCTCAACATCTTTCCAATACTTCTGCATGCTGGACAAAACATTTTAATGTCATCATTAGAGCTATCGATTAATTGCAGTTAACTTGCAATTAACTCAAAAAATTAATCGTGATTAATCCCAATTTTAATCGCACAATAGAATACCAATTGAAATGTATTAAATATTTTGGATGTTTTTCTACATTTTCATATATATTGTATTCTGTGTTGTAATTGACAGGTTTCAGAGTAACAGCCGTGTTAGTCTGTATTTGCAAAAAGAAAAGGAGTACTTGTGGCACCTTAGAGACTAACCAATTTATTTGAGCATAAGCTTTCGTGAGCTACAGCTCACTTCATCGGATGCATCACAAAAGCTTATGCTCAAATAAATTGGTTAGTCTCTAAGGTGCCACAAGTACTCCTTTTCTTTTTGTGTTGTAATTGAAATCAAAGTGTATATTATTTTTGATTACAAATATCTGCACTGTAAAAATGATCAACATAAGAAATAGTATTTTTCAATTCACCTCATACAAGTACTGTAGTGCAATCTCTTTATTGTGAAAGTGCAATTTACAAATGTAGATTTTTGTTTGTTTGTTTGTTACATAACTGCAATCAAAATCAAAACAATGTAAAACTTCAGAGCCTACAAATCCACACAGTCCTACTTCTTGTTCAGCCAATTGCTAAGACAAACAAGTTTGTTTACACTTATGGGAGACAATGCTGCCCTCTTCTTATTTACAATGTCACCAGAAAGTAAGAACAGGCATTTGCATGGCACTTTTGTAGCCGGCATTGCAAGGTATTTATGTGCCAGATTTGCTAAACATTCGTATGTCCCTTCATGCTTCGGCCACCATTCCATACTCCTGAGGGCATTCTACACCAAAAAATTTAAAATTCTGCGCACAATATTTTAAAATTCTGCCAGTTTTATTTGTCAATAAATAAATACAGGGTCTCCAGCATGGCAGTGGGGAGCACAGGCCACTGGCTGCATGAAGCTGGGAGACCACCCTGCAGCCTCCCCACCCCCACCCCTGGGACACGGACTAAGTGGTGAGGCTGCACCTGACATTGCCCCAGCACAAGACCTGGGCCTGCCCCAGAAACATCCTGGGGCCCTGCCTTGCCCCTCTGTGCCAGGCACACCAGGTATGGGGCAGGCAGGCTCAACCAGGCAGGATCCAAGTGTGAAGGGGCTCAGTGTGGGGGGATACAAGTGTGGGGTGAGAGAGTTCTGTGTGGGACAGTCTGGATGCATGCAGATTGTGGAGGGATCTGGATGCACAGAGGCTTGTTGAGGGGGTTCCAGATTCAGGGACAATGGGACTCTACAGCGGCTTCCAGGTGAAGGTGGTTGGAACTCAGCGGGGGAGTCTAGATGCAAGGGGAGTGTGGTGGGGTGGGGTGGGGGTCTGGGTGCAGTTAGTTGGGGATCAGTGACATGGATGTCTAGATGTGGGGTCTCTGGATGGGGGGGGTGAGGCTCATCAGGGTGGGGGTTTGAGTGCCGGGAGCAGAGTGGCAGCGGTCTGGGCTGCAGGGGTGGGGGTCAGGAGGCAGGGTGGCTCCAGATGCAGGGGTTGAGGTTCAGTGGGCAGGGTTCAGGTATGGAGTGCTAGGGGTGTTCTGGGTGTATGGGGTGAGGGTTGGCAGGAGAGTCTGGGTATGGAAGGTCTGGCTGCATGGGGATTGAGAGGATGGGGGGAGCATCTTCCCATACAGTGACCTCTCCCTCCACAGCTGAGGAGTGATGGGGGCAGGAAGCAGGGGAGGATGCTGAACTTCCTGCAGTTGGGGGAGGTTTCTGGGTGTGGGTCTGACACAGCCCCAGCCACTCCTTGCAACGGAAGAGTAAGTCCCATCCCCTCCTGACTCCAGCCCAGCCAGAATCATAGAATATCAGGGTTGGAAGGAACCTCTGGAGGTCATCTAGTCCAACCCCCTGCTCAAAGCAGGACCCATCCCCAGTTTTTGCCCCAGATCCCTAAATGGCCCCCTCAAGGATTGAACTCACAACCCTGGGTTTAGCAGGCCAATGCTCAAACCACTGAGCTATCCCTCCCCCCAGGACTAGCAGCTGATCCCAGCTCAGGGTAGGAGACACTGGTTAGGGTGTCTCCAGCCCTGTGGTGATTTACCTCTCTGTTGGCTACTCCGGGTGCCTGAAACAATGTACCTGAGATGCTAGGGAGTGGTGTGTGACTGCTCTTGCAGCTTCCCTTTGCTTCCCTGACAGAAAGTCATTTTTCTGTGGGGAAGCCTAGAAATTTGCAGGGGACATCAATTCTGTGCATGCGCAGTGGTGCAGAATTCCCACAGGAGTAATTTCAGAGGAAATGCTTCCATGCTGATGACGCTCGTTAAAAAAATAACGCGTTAATTAAATTTGTGACTGAACTCATTGGGGGAGAATTGTATGTCCCCATATTCTCCCATATATTTCATTTTATTGCAGCCTCGGATGATGACCTAGCACATGTTCATTTTAAAAAAAACTTTCACTGCAGATCTGACAAAACGCAAAGAAGGTACCAATATGATATTTCTAAAGATAGCTACAGCACTCAACCCAAGGTTTAAAAATCTGAAGAGCCTTCCAAAATCTGAGAGGGATGAGGTGTGGAGCCTGCTTTCAGAAGTCTTAAAAGAGCAATACTCCGATGCGGAAACTACAGAACCTGAACCACAAAAAAAGAAAATCAACTTTCTGCTGGTGGCATCTGACTCAGATAATGAAAATGAACATGCGTCAGTCCGCATTGCTTGGGATTGATATTGAGCAGAACCCATCATCATGGACGCATGTCCCCTGGAATGGTGGTTGAAGCATGAAGGGACATATGAATCTTTACCGCATCTGTCACATAAATATCTTGCAACGCCAGCTACAACAGTGTCATGAGAACACCTGTTCTCACTTTTAGGTGACATTGTAAACAAGAAGCGGGCAGCATTATCTCCAGCAAACGTAAACAAGCTTGTTTGTCTGAGCAATTGGCTGAACAAGAAGTAGGACAGAGGACTTAAAGGCTCTAAAATTTTACATTGTTTATTTTTGAATGTAGGTTTTTTGGACATAATGCTGCATTTGTACGTTCAACTTTCATGATAAAGAGATTGCACTACAGTACTGTATTAGGTGAACTGAAAAATACTATTTTGTATTTTTACAGTGCAAATACTTGTAATCGAAAAAAAATATAAAGTGTGCACTGTACACTTGGCATTCTGTGTTGTTATTGAAATCAATATATTTGAAAATGTAGAAAACATCCAAAAATATTTAAATAAATGGTATTCTATTATTAACAGTGCAATTAATCGCGATAAATATTTTTAATTGTGATTAATTTTTTTAATCACTTGACAGCCCTAGTCATCATCATCACACAAGCTGCTGTGAGTTACATAATAAAATGATTACCTCTTTCGTCTTCAGATCCTAGAGTTTCTTTGCAGGATGCCATCACATCTGAACAGGAAGTGGAAATCCTCTTCTCTGAGTAAGGCTTCCTCGAACTGTCTTGAGAACTGGCAGGTTCATTAAAGATGTCCTGTGTGGAGCTAGAATCAGAGAGCACCACTGCTGTGCTGTCCTGACTCCTTTCTGCAAAAAAAGGAGAACGAGGTAAAGAATGAATGTGCTACTTCATCCACACCACAGGAGACATTAGGACCAAACAGACCTCCATCTTAAACCATGCGTTAGTGCTTTCTTCTCAATTTAAGTAGCATAATGACTGCAACCATTTTGTAAACTTTCTCTATTGTAACACATGGACCTATGCCAACCAATGTGCCTATTGTCTAAAAGATAAATTTATTTTCTTGTAATCTGTCTTCTACAATTTATTGCTATGTTCATCTCCTCACCTGTTTTTTCCAAGAACTGAATATGTAATTGTTTTCTTTCATAAGCAGTTGTTAAGTATTCATGTAGATTTCATTTTTCGAATGATTTCCTGGGATATCTCAGCACGTTAGAAACCTCGTACAAGGGAGTTGATGCATAACCCTGATAAGCAGTCACCTTTAGGACAGAATGTAGCCAACTCTTTACACTCATAACATTCAGCAGTTTTACTGTGCCACTTGTGGCATCTCAAAAGGAAGGTGGGATAACTTTGGTACACTAGGTAAAAATCTGAGTCCACCAGAACTCATTTGCTAGGGAAAGACCTTGAACATCAAGATTTCTAAGAATTTTTGGAAGCAGTTCTTGCAAAGGATAGAAGATCAATGTAATTAGAGATGCAAAAGACCTAACAGAATGATCACTGACATCATCCACTTGACAAGAGTTTGATACAGTCCACGGAACAGTCATCTGCTTAGCATCTTGCTAAGATTTCAGTTTGAGATAGACATCAAGATTCCTGGACTTCAGGCTAGCAGCAAACCTTAATTAGTAATGAAAGAGGTGCAGGGGCTCAAGCAATTTTTTTACTTTCATAACTGATGTGGCAAACCCAAGGGTGCCAGGGCTATGAACTGCCAAGACTAGAGGTGCCAGGGCTCAGCCCTGGTAAGCCCTTGCACAAATAAAGCAATGGCTAGCAGATAGAAGTGTGAGGGAAGTGATTCAGTTTTGGTGGGTACAGCTGATTAGAGTAACGTATCGCACCTGTTGACTGCTTTACAGTTTGGAGGGGGTTGTTAGCCCTTTCAGCCATAGTTGTTTCAGCACATGAAACAGTTGTAAAAGGTGGTGATTACAGTGGGATAAAAACTGTACCCTAGAATAAAGGAACAAGTGAAAACTTCTCAGATACCTCTGAGACCAGTCTAATATATCCTTAGTCACTATGTCAGGGTTTGGCAGAGACAACCTAGCATATCTTCATGATTGGAACTGGAACAGCCCATCCACGTGCAGGCTCTAAAACTACAACACAACTACAGAAAAAGATACATATTTTCTTCCTCAGATGGGAAAAAACACATTTTTCTACAATTTTCCACCAGCAAAATTCAGTATCTGATGTGAAATCCTAGCAGACAGATCTCTCTCTATATCTAAAGCCCATGGATGAATTTAGTCCCTTTACCAGGGACAGGATTAGTTCAACTGATAAAAAAGTTGTATACAACTAACGGCATGCAGAAAGGCTGACACGTATCTGACACTGAAGACCAATGCAGTCTCTCTGTATTCTTATTCATGATATGATCAAGAATAAAATGAAAAAATGCTCACCAACAGAGAGGTTCAACAGAGAGGAGCGGACAGTATAAATAACTCCTTCCCTTTCTGTACAAATTACACAGTACAAATAGAGTGCTGAGATGCTTCTTATGGATTTGTCTTAACCAGATAAACCCTCTCCCCAGACCTCAACTTATAGTACAGGTATTACTAGTTTTGATTCCAGAAAGATTATAATGCAATTTGATTCAATCTACGGGTTTTTCATTTGGCACATGAAGAAAACCTGTCTATCCAGTGAATAGGTCCTATGAAACTGCACCTGGAAAAAGGAACTGGGGGAGGGCATTCCTGGGGGAGGGCATTCCACTGGGGGAGGGCTTTCCTAATAGAAAGTTTTACAGTTTGTTAGTGATGACAGACTTTATATAGAAATGATATCATTACAAAAGAATGGGAGAGGAAAGATTCTGAATGGAGGTCAGTCAAACTTTCATGACTCATTTGTAGAGCTTTAAAAATGTTCTTTGATATATGTGGATATAGCTGAACGCCTGGTCGGTATCAGGGGGGAAAGAAGTTATGTTTTAAACTTCCAAGGTTTGGAAATTGATTGCAAAGTTTTGGGGGATAAAATAAAAGATATTTTCTCGTGTCCACAGTGGTTCTTAGCAGTTTTGTAACATCCAGAAAGACTGGTTGAATGACAGCACCAACAACAAAAACCCTGATATAGACAACCAACACACTCCACATTTACAGCAATTCATCTGACAGATTTTTTTTTTTAAACGGTAGAAACTCAGGCATCTGCTTCAGAAGCAGGTTAGAGGTTGAGTTAGAAGACTGAAGATGCAAAAATACAGCAGTTGCGAGACTATAAATGTTTCATTATCCCATAAGCACTGAAGTTAGTTTTGATGTTCAGCCTGTGACAGATAAAAAGTCGAAATGTTGGAATGGGAATCAAGAATGGCTGGTATACAGTGAGTTTGTGAGGGCTACATCAGTTACTAGGAAATTAACTAACCTCTCTCAGCATAAAAAATGATGCTCAGATGCTCTGAGCCAGCATGTTATATTTCAAATACCCGCTTATCAATGAAGTTTTTCATCCCAAGGGAGCAAACGTGAAGTCTTCCTTTTCAAATCCTAACTAGCAATCCCAGCTTGAAGTTTCTGCTAAAAAGAAGTGTACATATGTAGGTATGCATGAGTGTATGTGCCACTCTCTCTTTGGGCTATTCCTACACTAGCTAGACAGATACCCAATATTTCAACCACATCATCATCTAACCCTGCTCTGAGCACACAACATAGTGGTAAAAACACAAACATCCATCCAATGACTCTCAACATTGCTTCTGCTGATGGAGCTGAGATGGTGGGCTGCAACAATAGAAATTTTTTCAGAAGTAAAGCAAGTGTAGACCAAGCTTCTTTTTGGGGGGGAGGGGGGGGGGAAGGGGAGAAAGAGGATGTTTTGTACTGTTGCATCTAAGACATTTTTAATGATTTCTTCTGAGTCAACTTCCTCATTTTCAGTGTACATTTCCAAAAAATGTTTAGAAAGATTGGCACTTGATTTTTTTAATATTTAAATAAATCAAGACTGCTAAGTAGAAGATATGGGTAAATGTGGTGTCATCATTTCTTTTTCATGGACTCCAAAGCAACCACAGAAGAGAGGGTTACTGTGTAGAGGGCATGTGAGCATAGCTATTTTCCTTCACTTGCTTTGACCATTAATATATTACATGGTGGTGTGCATTACTTTGGAGTACACACCAAGGTGACACTAGGATAAGATAAGGGGTGGTCTGAATAGAAATGAAAAAACTTACATATTCAATGCACTCCACCCCCAGCTGCTATTGAAATTCAGCATAAAAGTTGTAAAATGAGAGTCTGAGATTATTAGGTTGTTGCCAGGATTCAACTAATAGTAATTCAGAGGCTGGGAAGTGCTAATATTCACACATTACAGATATTCTCTGCTCAAAATACCTTAAAACATATACGTTAGTGCATCAAGATTCAGACGCCATCTGAAGAAGTTCCTAAACTGGACACACTTTGAACCTGCACTGCAAATAACAATGGGAACAAGAGCGAGGGGTTCCAAAATTAGGCCTCTCCAAAGACACTACATTAGTTACGAATAAAAGGACTCCAGACTTACAGTTCTTCTGGACAGTGTGTTGTGAGTCATGATGTAAGTGAACTACCTTAGCAGTAATTAAAATCTGTAGGACAGTGCTATGGAAACAGGCATGCATTACTGATAGGAGAAACCATGAAACTAGACAACTCAGCACTGACTGTATGGATAATTTTGGGAAGGGGGAGTCTTCCAGGAATCCCCATTTCCCCCCCACTTCCTTTTACTTCTTTACCTACCCTCAAATGCCTCCTATTGCTGCAACTGTCCCACTGTCAAGAAGGGCTGTACATGGCTCTCTTTGCAGCCTATCAGTGGCACTCCTCTAATCAAGCAGAGATGACTGCTAGAGAGCAACACCAGGAACTCTCTCCCCCCAGAAAAGACGAGCGAATCACTTTCTCAGTTCTCCCATGCCAGGAACAATTTCAGGTTCTGGACTGTGATCCTTCCATGAGAGTTTACTGTGATGTCAGACTGCCAGACTAGCCATCTGCATGGTTCAGTTTGAGAGTGTGAGCAGGAGCCCAGAGAGAGAGACTGGTGTCAAGACTATATTAGCTTTGATTATTAAGAAATAATTAAAACATACAGTGCTTTACGTTTATCTAGAAATTTACAAACATTCCCTGCCAAAAAAGTCTTAAGAGCTAAGAAAGAAAAAAGGTAACATATGGCCTAGTAGTTTAGGAAAGGGGATTACTATTAAGGGTTGGAAAGACCCCTGAAAGCTTAGACTAGAAGATCTTCAGAGCAGGAGTTGTACATTCCTGTATGTTTGTACAGTACCTAATACATTTTTGGCACAACTGTAATAACAATACATGCAGTTTTATTCTGAGAAATGACTAGAGCTGACTGAAAAGTTTCAGGATTTTTCTGATAGGAAGGGATACATTTTTCATGAATATTTTTTCCATTTCTCAAACAACTTTAGAAGTGACTATGTAAAGCATATGTGGCATTGTAAAGCTACTTCTTTATTGTTCCAATAACTTCTATATCAAATGTGCTCAGTTTACAAGCAAAGGGATGCTGTCTGACTGCCAGTCCCGCAAACTCAGCCTAGAATCTGCGAATCAAGCTGTGTTCTTTCTATTTCATCCACCAGCAGTGAAGGTCCCAAATTAAGCACTCTTGACACCTATAGAACTCCAAATTATGCTTTCAGCAACACTTGCACAAACTCAATGTGAGAGATTCTCTCCTTTGCTACAGTCAATGTACACACAATTGTGTAGTCCCCGCTGTAAGGCCTGGTGAAGGGAGTATGCCGAGGATGGGGTCATTATGGGGATTC